GATTTAAATCACTACCAAAACTTAATAAATTATTTAGAAACCAGGTATATGATTTTTTCATCCTGAGAAAATCAAGACAAGTCTAAAAACTGGAGGATGTGGGATAATCTCTTGTTAACACAGTTTTCATCTACATAACGATGAGGAACTAGGTGATCTTTAAAGCGCCTTTAAGCTCTAGAATTCTAATAGAGCGCAATCAATGGCATCCACTAATAATATGATGCAACAGAACTCTTCTTCCTGCTAGCAAAAGGAACATATGCCATATTAAAATGCCCTTACTGGGCATTTTTGCTGGCTTGTCACTGTGTTTATGGAATTCATTCTCACTGCATTTCTGATGAAAGTGGGACAGATGGTGAAGGGTTTAAGTAATGTCTTCATTACCAGACCTCATACTACTAATGGCTATTTACTGGCACAGTGGCTTGTTCAAACGAGTAGAAAATGAATCCTTCTCCAGGGGGAACCGACCACCAGGGCAGCATTTATCAGCCTTTGTTGTGGTTATTCATTTGTACGTTTCTTATCCTTTGTGAACCCAGGCGTTCTTCTGCAGAATGTAAAGCTCCCAGTTCTCCTGCCCTCTTCCTAACCTGAGATGCTCTTCCTTACAGCCTGTCTTCTCTGCATCTCCAAGGCCAAGAACATGTCACCTGTTTTACTATAGCTTTGTTGGTTTGTTTTACAAATACAAAAATAACCTTTATACCAAATATTATCTTAATTTCAGTCTATTGCCCCAGTACCCCAACCCCAACTCCCTCTACCTCTTAGAGAGCCCAACGGTCCCCCACCAAAAAGTTGCTGAACTAGGTTGTTAATGGAAAGTTTTTCTATGGCCTTGCTGCTCTATGGCCATCTACTCTCTGACCTACCTCATGGAGCTGTTAGACACAGACCACACTTATGGGTCAGTAATAAGACAGGATTTCTCCAAGATTTTACTACCAGCATCTTAGCCACTCAACATCAATCTGGGCTATACTCCCCTACCTTCAACAGTTTTTAGCCTCACAGAAGCACATGTCAAGAAATGAAAGGATGCACTGTATTGGGTCAATGTGCTGCAAAAGACTTCTTTATAGTGCTCAAGAGCAAACATGTCACTTTGAAGACTAAGGTATGCCTATCCCAAGCCATAGTATTTTCAATCACCTCATATACACATGAAAGTTGGACAATAAATAAGGAAGAGCAGAGAAGAAAATTGATGCATTTGAATTATGATGTTGGTAAAGAATATTGAATGTACCATAGACTGCAAGAAGAATAAATAAATATGTTTTAAAAGGAGTACATATTTTGGGCATGCAATCAGGAGGGACCAGGTCCTGTAGAAGGGCATCAGCTTGGTAAAGTAGAGGGTCAGTGAAACAGAGGAAGACCCTCAGGGATGAATTGACACAGCAGCTGTAACAGTGGACTCAAAATTGTGAGGACGGAGCAGCACTGGACAGTTTTCGTTCTGTTGTGCATACGGTCGGTATGAGTCGGAACTGACTCAATGCTACCTAACAACGAAGAACCACTAGAAGCAAGAGAAAATGGAAATCTGGAACATTCCTTGAGCTCCACATTATCCAGATATACTACACTGTAATCTCCACAAAAAGAGAGACTATATCTGGTTCATTCATTCACAAGTGTAAAGCCAGCCCCTAGCTCTGCCTGACTCTGTTGTTAAATGCCATCAAGCCCATTCCGATTGATAGCGACCCTGTTTAGGGTTTCTGGAGGAGTGGCCAGTGAGTTTGAACCACCGGCCTTGCAGTTCAAATTGACTTTGCAGTCCAGTGCTTATCCTACAGTATCACTCAACTATTTTTCAAATAAACAGTTGAGTGAACACAGCACCCCAACCCTGAGATGAGCTCACATCTAGCACAGATTTCCTATGTTGTTGTTGTTATGTGCCGTGGAATCAGTTCTGAATCACAGTGACCCTGTACAGGGTTTCCGAGGCTGTAAATCTTTACAGGAGCAGAAAGCCTCATCTTTCTCCCATGGAACAGCTGGTAGTTTTGAACTGCTGACCCTGAGGTTAGCAGCCCGATTCATAACCACTACGCTACCAGAGCTCCTTACAGATTTCCTATAGTTGCTATGAATTAGACATTATTTTCCACTGTCCTTTTTGTAATTTAGTCCCTGGGGCACAAACAGTTAAGTACTTGGCTATTAACTGTGGTTCAAAACAACCTAGGGGTACCTCTGAAAAACTCCTGGCAAGCTGATTCTGTAAAATCAAAAAACAAAAATAGTAAACCTGTTACTGTCAAGTTGTTTCCAATTCACAACAAGCCTCCGGGGCAGAGTTGGACTGTCCCGTGGGGTCTCCGAGGCTGTCATCTTTACAGAAGCTGATGGTCACACCTTTCACCTGTAGAGCAGCTGGTGGGCCTGAAACACTGATCTTTCAGTTAACAGCCAAACACAGTTCTACTCTGCAACATACAGCGAAGTGGCCATGAGTGGGGACTTACCCAATGGAAGCAGGGTTTTGTTTGGTTGTTTGTTCCTTTGTTAATTTCCGGAGGCTGACAGGTGGCCTCCAAACATCTGATGATCACAGTCCAAAATTTAAATTTCAACCTTATTTATCAGGCTGTTTGATTATATCTCCCTATACATTCCTAACTTGTCTTTCCTTAGATGCAAATCTTCTTTGTGCTATCTTTGTATATTGGTTTAAAAATCTATTACATGCTGAAATGTTCTAATGCTACAAAATATCTAGAGTCCTGGTTTGCCACTATAGAATAAGCACTGGACTACTAACACTATACAGGGTCGCTATGAGTTGGAACCAACTTATAGCGACCCTGTATAGGGTTTCCGAGGAGTAGCTGGTGCGTTTGAACCGCCAACCTTGCAGTTCACCCTGACTTTGCAGTACAGTGCATTATTAGTTTGTCTAAAACAGCACAGTTATCAAAGAATGTCACACCTAGCTAAACCAGTGGTTTAGGACACTCTAGCAAGTCCAGCACACAGGGACCCCGGGCGTGAGGCACAGAAGGAGCTCTGGACATTACTTTTGTTACATGCAGTTAAGATTCAGCTGAGTTAATTTTCTGTGATTACCCTGTAGAACCTTCATTAAGATAACAAATTCATCTGAATTCTGAGTTATAAAACTTTAAATTCTTGGGAAATGTTTTGAAACTGAAGTTCATTTGGTAAAAAAATCTGAAGATTGAAATCTAAGTTTTTGAGGTGACGTTTCCAAAATGACATTAATGATACTTCCAAAATGGATCTTTAGGTAAGATTCATAAAGCAAATTAAGGCAAAAAGGACAGAGGTAAGTCAGGGATCAATACAAGAAGTAGAAATGGATTGGGCAATATGAGGTGGATGTCAAAAGCCTGTATTCTTGTTTACCTTATTCAGTTTTGCAGATGCCAGTTTCCCATTTGTTTGGTTTGCTTATTAACAAGAAGTATTTCTTGATTGTTTGAATTCCAAATTCTAAGGTGTATATCATTAAATTTACAGGCTCACCTTTTGTATCTATTTGGAGTGCTAGCTACTTAGAAGGGATCCTGGTGTGACACTGTCAGATACACACTGAGTGCTAACTGCTAGTTTGGAAGTTCAAACTCACCAGCCTCTCCTTAGAAACCTGATACAGGTTGGTCATTCTGAGTTGAAACTGACTCCAGAGAACACAACAAGAAGTTACTTAAAGAAACACTGTGTGAAATTTTTGATAAGAAATTTTGTTATATTGTTTTCTTTTTATCTCTTGAGATTTCCAATTTCCATATAATGGCTTTGCTTTTTTATTTTATCTTATAGTGTTTTGTGAAAATATACCCAGCAAAGGATATATCATTTCAACTATTTCTACATGTGTTTAATTCAGCGACGTTGTTTACATTCCCAGGTAGTATAATCTTTCTTACTATTCCTTCCCAAGTTATTCCACCAGCAACAACTTGTCACTGTTCCTGGGCGTCTCATCCAACCTGTTGTGAATGTAATCCCACATGGATAAGTCTTTGAAAAAGCATAATGCTCAAGGCTCTCACATTTAACTAATTAAACTAAACTGTTGTTTGATTCCAAATGGATTCTGGGAAAAGTTTTATTTGAGGTTTAAAGTTTAAAGAGTACCTGAGGGCAATAGTTTCAGGTATTTATCAATGGTTTCAGAAGGTCTGAATGTCTTAATGCACCTTTTATCTCTTCTAAGGTTGCTATTACTGCTAAGTGCAGACAGGCAGTTCAATTCATCGCAACCCTGTATAGAGTTTCCAAGGAGCAGCAGGTGGGTTTGAAACAACCTTGTGGTTTGCAGTCCAGTACGTAGAGAACTCACTAATATTTACAAGACTACAGTGGACTTGAAATACTCCTGGTAGCGTAGTGGATTACAAACTGGGCTGTTAACTGAAAGGTCAGCAGTTCGAATCTACCAGTTGCTTCTTGGGAGAAAGATGAGACTTGCTGCTCCTGTAAAGATTCAGATCCTCGGGATGACTATGCCAAGCTGCTGTGAGTTACAATCCACTCACTGTGAGATGGACTCAACTTGAAGGCACACAACCACCATTACCACCCCACAGTGGACTTGAGTAGCCTAAAATGGAAACTTCACTAACTCTAATGCATAAAAATGCTCTGCTCATCAGAGATCTTCTTTATTATTAGGAGTAGGTGGACTGGGTGATCTTCTCCATAGTTTCCATTCACAGCCTCACCAGGATCCCTTTCTAAGATATTCATGTACTAAAAAGAGGCTGTGGCAAAGAAATGAGAGCAGTATTTGGTGAGAGGTAAATCAGTAACTACAGGATGAATCATAGTGAATGTTTGGGTGAAGAAACCAACATAACTGAATACTTTGTAAAGCCAAGTATTGTGAAAGGACTTGCATGTCATGTTTGTTTTTTATTTCACTTAATGTCCTAGTCATTTCTGTATGGTTTTCTTTAACTCCTGCACCCACTCTGTCAGGAAGGAATCTGTTCTGTCCTCTAGCAGTTTACCTTTTCCATTTGCTCTACAAGGTTCTCCAATTCCGTGATTCTGTTGTGTTTCTCCTCAAGCTTTGCAGCAACTTGATTCAAATTTTCAACATGTTGTTTCAGTTTCTGTTCTTTTTCAAGCTTGTTGACCTTTAGACATAAAAACAGTTGTCAGATTCTTGATTTTCCTAAACCTGTACAAGTGTTACTTCTGTAATTTTCTGACTAACTGAAAAAATGAATAATCCACAGTAGGTTAGGATTACTTTTTGGAATTCAGTTTTTTCTTCAAAAGAAGCCTGGCAAAATACACAAAAGCTAGCTCAACAGAGGCATTAATAAAATAGAAATATTAACCCTAACATTAATAAAGAATGAGCATTGATCCTAAAACTATAATGTGCAGTACTTAAACACATACATGGAAGAGAGCTCTTAATTTAACAAAAACAACATTTTTCACTCTTTTGGAATGCAATTTGTGTAGAAGAAAATGAAATCTGTGTCCAACTACAACAAAACCATTTTTTTTTCCCCAGGGGCAAAAAAAAAAACCCAACCAGAGTAAGTCTCAACACTATGTCACTGATGTTTCAAAGCAAAGTGCAGGGGTTGAGCTGATTGTGGAAGGGAAACCTAGTGCCATATTTGGGAGTGTTTCAGTTGGAATCTACGGCGCATGTTTGTACACCTGAATGAATGGGGACTTGGGTTCTCCAATAGACACACAGCTCACTGGGTACCTGTAGTAAGTGCTTGCTGTCTTCATGCTTTTTTCTAACTTCTTCAGACTGTCGTTGGTAGTTTTCAAATAATCTCTGTGCCACGTTTCTCAAAGCTGCTGCCCCGGCTTCTCTGGAGGCTTCCAACTACGGGAAAAGGGTCACCAATTATGTGTCGACATTTTGGCTAAAAAGGGTTAAAGGTAGAAGAGTGTGTTGGGCAGTTAAAAGCACTGAGGCTGTAGCTGTCTCCTTTACACCATTACAGACAATAGATTGGAGAAAAGGCACGTATCTGGTATGAGGAAACAGAAAGTCGGCTATATAAGACCCTATATAGCAGAACTGGAAAAGCAGCCAGATTTGTATTGGTCAGCCTACACCAGAGTTCACACATATCCAAGTCCTCCAGTTACAACCTTCGAAGACTACACAAGGCCCTGCCAGCCAACCACACTTACCTGCAAACACTGAGGTCACAAAACAACTAAAGAGTTAATTTTCCTGGAAGATAAGTAGGACAAAGCTGAAGTATGAAGGACAATTAAGCCAAAATGTTGTGATTCTTTCAAGGATTTAATCTAAGGTAATAATCAAGGGTGATGTACCTACCAAATAGCCATTGCAGCACGGCATAGAAAAGACACAAAAAACAGAAAACAGAAAAGACTCAGCCACAGGAATTAAGGGAAACAAATAATTTAAAAAAAAAAAAAATGTCTGACTTTTATGTTCATTTATGTTTCTGACAGTTCATGTTTATTAAATATGGGCAACACTGGTAGGTTTTTTCAAAATAAAAGTAGTCTTCAAAATAAAACAGGGAATTGTACATTTTGTGGAACATAAAAATGTTTTTCTCTGTAGAAGCATTTGTGTGAATCTAAGTGTGTGGTGTGTATATACCCTTCTACTTTTCAGATCCATGACTGCTATCCTATTGGCTCAAAAACTCAATATGCAAAGTGAGAAAATTATCATAATGACTATACCTTGATTTTCAAGACTTCATTCTCTTTGTTCATTTCTAAGAGCTGTAAATCTTTTCCTCGCATCCTTTCCATAAGCCCGTCCAAAGTGCAATGAGAGGGTTCCACCTCAGAGCCAGAGCCATTGGGAATGTTTTGACAGGGCTGAAATGAAAAGGAAAAGAACAGACCCAACTCTTTCCACTACAAACTTTGACAACAGTAATTATTACCCTGCATTCATTCCATAAAGGTGCCTTGGTGGCACTATGGTTAGTCTTCAAAAACAACACAAAAGGTTGGCGGTTTGAACCCATCAGCCATTCCATGGAAGAAAGATGGAGCAGTCTGCTTCTGTAAAGATTTATAACCTTGGAAATTCTACGGAGCAGTTTTACACTGTACTTGCTATAGGGGTCATTAGACGTAGAAATTGACCTCAAGGCAGTGAGTTTGTTTTTTCGGTATATATTACATATATCAATTCCTGGTTTTGCACTATAGAGTAAGCACTTGACTGTTAATAATAGGTCAGTAGTTCAAACTCATCATGCTCAGAAACCATATACAGGGTCATTAAGAGTCAGAAATGACTAAATGCCACTTAACAACAACAATGTATTCAGAAGAATTCAGGTCTTCACAAAGAAAATAAGATTTGAAAGTTTTATTCTAATTTAGTCAATGAGGAATTAAAGTAGCTGGCCTCATTTAATCAAATTTGAGCAGAACCTTACATCAAAACAAGGTAGTGTTATACAGTTTATATCTTCTATAGCTCTGATAGCATAGTGGTTATGAATTGGGCTGCGAACTGCAAGGTCAGCAGTTCAAAACTACCAGCTGTTCCATGAGGCTTTCTGCTCCCATAAAGATTTACAGCCTTGGAAACCCTGTATAGGGTCGCTATGAGTCGGAACCGACTTCACGGCACACAACAACAACAACACAGCTCCTACAAGGAGCTTTGGCTACAAGTTAGTTACGAATCGGGCTGCCAACCTCAAGGTCAGCTAGTTCGAAACTACCAGTGGTTCTGTGGGAGAAAGATGAGGCGTTCTGCTCCCGTAAAGATTTACAGTCTCAGAAAACCTATACAGGGTCACTATGAGTCAGAACCGACTCCACAGCACATCACCACCACCACAATAGCTCCTACACTGGACTACAAACCATGAGGCCAGCAGTTCAAACCCACCAGCTGCTCCTCAGAAACCCTATACAGGGTCGCTATGAATCTGAGGAAATACGTACTATTCACAAGGCCAGATTTTTCTAACCTAAATTGTAGTCCTAAATGTATTTTTTATTACACTGCATTATAGAATAGTATAAGCACACCAAATAGTTAGTTATGGGTCAGAACCGACTCGACAGCACTTAACAACAACAATAGTTACCACACAAAATATTCAATGTTCAACGATGCTACTTGGTAATCATCTCAGATCACATTCCAATTGGTGATGTCAGAACTGAATGCTACTCCCAAAGGAACTGAGGCTTAAACTCTCATTCACTGAAAATACACTTGGGAGATAAAATAAATCTCATCTGGCATCACGAACTTCTAAGGCTGAAAAGAAATGAGAACCTAGCTTATCCCCATCAAGTTTATAGATACGGAAATACAGTACTAGAGGCCAAGTTTACATAGCGATTGAGTGATAAAGAGCTCACAACATTTCCTGGCTCATTTGTCCTGGGCTCTTTCTGTTGCTTCCCATTTATTTCAAGACAGACTTAAGGATTGTTATATAATTATGCGTACCCTACGAATCGGGCTGCGAACCTTAAGGTCAGCAGTTTGAAACTACCAGCCACTCCGCGGGAGAAAGATGAGACTTTCTACTCCCGTAAAGATTTACACCCTCAGAAACCCTGTACAGGGTCGCTATGGGTCGGAACCGACTCAACGGCACTTTAACAACAACAATTGTAATAGCAATTTTTATTTGTTGAGCACCTACTATATACCTGGTCTTCCTTTAGCTCTTTTCTGTCCATTCTTTTTTCTGAGTAAACAAACTACTATAAGGCATATAAGGAGCCTTGGTAGTATAGTGTGTTACAAACTGGGCTGCTAACTGCAAGGTGAGCAGTTCAAATCTACCAGTTGCTCCACTGAAGCAAGATGAGGGTTTCTACTCCCATAAAGACTCGCAGTCTTGGAAACAACCTATACAGTGTCGCTAGGAGTTGGAACTGACTCAGTGGCACACAGCCACCACCACCACCCATAAGGCAATATGCCCATTACATGAGGAAATGGATGATCAGAGAGATTAGCTAACAGGACAAGGGTCATACTAAAAATAACTACCAGACCCAAGAATCCAAGGTTTTTAAAATATAAGGCTGAGGGTCTTTCCATTGCAATATACTAACTACCTTTATAGAACTTTATAAAGGATGCAAAAGAATATAAGCCATATAAACAATACACTCAGCATAACTCTGCCAGGTTTTTAGTGTTTATAGTCCAGTTCCTAGTGTATAATCTCACTGTTGTCGTTAAATGCTGTCAGGTTGGTTGTGACTCACAGGGATCCTATACAGGGTTTCTGAGGAGCCGCTGGTGGATTTGAACTGTCAACCTTATAGTTTGCAGTTCAGTGCTGATCCTACAGTGCCACACCAGGAGTCCTGTAATCTCACTAAGTCCTTATAGAGTGGTGGTGGTGGTGGTGGTGGTGGTGGTGCTTGGTTGTGTGCCATGGAGTTGGTTCCGATTCACAGCAACTCTGTACAGGGTTTCTGAGGCTGTAAATCTTTATGGGAGCAGAAAGCCTCATCTGTCTCCC